TGTGCTTGACTGAGAAAGGGATTACTTCGAACCCAACAATGCGCGATCCCTTGAAGAGGGCCGAAAAGGGAGGCGTGAAGCTCAAGGAGAGAGGTCTCGACGCTCACGGTCACGCAGTCTGGAGCGGATTCGGAAACAAATTCGGCGATCGGGCTCACCATCGCGGGAGCGACGCGAAAGAAGGGACGGATTGCGCGAAAGGGACTGGCGGGACCGGAGAGAGAGGAGTCGAGATCGATCGCAGTCTAGGGAACTCCGCAGGCGCAGATAGTGCGTACTGCGGAATACCAATGCTAGCCAATCTAACGAAAAATGCCATGGTACCTGTATTCTTTGTTCCCCCTGTTTTCTGCTTTCGTGCACCTCGAACTACACAGCTTTATTCTCTTTGAAACAACAACCGCCTCCCATCCCTCCTCTTTCCCCACCTGCCCTCTAGCTCATGCGGTCGGCCGCCCCCTCCGTCCGCCGGCTGAACACGAAATAGGAGTCCGAGGACTGGCCTTTCATCACCCGCAAGTCCTCGTCCAAGTACAGCAACTCGCACCTGTTCAAAACCCGCACGCCCTTCCAGCCCGTCTCGATTCTCTCCCTCATAAAGCCGTACGTGATGGTCGCCGGCAACACGTCCATGATCAGGCAGAGCTCTCCGCTCATGATCGAAACCACATCCTTCAGCTCCCAGGCCCCTTCCACCACCACGTTCAAGTCCCTCCCCAGCGTCCTCAGTCGCTCCGTGTAGACCGTTTCCAGGGCGAAGCCGTTCACGGCGATGGACTGGCTGAACCCCAGGAACTCCACCTTGGGCAGGGACTTGCCCAGACCGCTCAAGCCACGGTTGTACCGCATGGTCCGTGAGGTGCTGTAGGCAAGCTCCCACTCCCCCTCCATGGCCTTCTGCAGGTCTGTAATCTCCAGCTCGTCCCGCGCCGCCAGGTTGGCCTCCTCGTCGAGCATCGCCTCCACCAGCGCCCCCACGTAGTCGTCCAGGGCTTTGTCCTCTTCCAGCAGGCCCGCCAATAGCACCGAGGCCAGCATTTCCTTCAACTGCGGCTTGGCAGGGCCCACTATTCGCAAACCTTCGGGCTCCGCCTCTTTGGCCTGCGCGGCGGCCGCAGCTTTGTAGGCCGCTGCCGCCGTCTGCCGAGGCGCGACCTTCTCCTCCTCCTCTCCCTCCTCCAGGAAGAGATCGTCCAAGGCCGAGGACAGGGCCTGGAAGCCCGCGAAATCCACCACGTCTCCCGTGCCTCGTTCAGACCGGACCTTGTCCCACATCGACCCCACCTCCTCCCGCGATACCAGCCCCTCCTCGAGCAGGTCGGGCAGCTCGTTCGTTCTCAGAAAGGCGGCGTAGTCCATCTCTGCCTCCAGGTCCCCACCGATCGCCGCCATGTACTCTGCCCGCAACTCCTTCCCTTCGTTCTCCTCAGGCACGGCCGTCTGCGTCTCATCGCTCTTCTCCGCATCGTCCACCACCTCCTCCAGCAGGTCCTCTATCCCGGCGTACACCCGCATGGATCCCTCCGCGCTCAACACGGCCCGGACACCCGCGCTTGCTCCCCGGAAGCCGGCCTCCGCAGCCCACATGGACTCCACCTCCTCTCTACTGATGAGATTTTCTTCCAAATATCGACTGACATCTCCAGAAGCCAGGAACTCCTCGAGCGTAATCCCCTTCACGGCACCCGCCTGCCCCACCTCAACATCCTCATCCTCCTCTTCTTCCTCAAACAATGCATCAATTTTTTCGTAAACTGCCAAGAAAGCGTCCAAATCTGCCGGCTCCGCCTTGTCACCGAGCTCTCCTATCCAGAAGGATTCCACCTCGGCCTTGGCAAGCAATTTTTCCTTTAAAAGCTCTGCAACTTCTCCGCTAGTGAAAAATGAAGATAAGGATATCAGATCGGCCTGATCCTGTTTACTTATCCGACGAAATTCTTCCTCAAGCATATTTTTCCTCCGAGCATTCATGGTCCCTTTGGTTGTTTCTTTTGCAGAGGTGGCTTGCATGACGACGCATGAGGAAGGAGAAGTGGCTTCGGTGGGAGGTATGTAGTGAGACGAAATGGTCCAGGAGCCACCAAGATGCCAGGTTTTGCGCACTTGTATGGTTGGTGCGGGGAAAATGTCTGCGGTTGATAGCGGTCCCGGTTTGCTTTTCGAGTGCAGGGAAGTAGGAGGCACGACAGGGGGGAGGAACGCACGAACTAGAACAAGCTGATGGAGCAACCCCGCCGTGTGAATGGCCCAAAAAATGCATCGTCTTGATAAAGGTGCTCTGGAAGTCATATTTGTCCTGCGGTAGTTGTGTGCGTTTCAATTGGGGGCAAGTTTAGTTTCCTACATTCATCGATAGGTCAGCGGCTAGATACTACGGCTGACTTCTGTCGGAAGAAGTGTTTCAGCACCCCGACGTTGATTTTATGCACAACCAAGTGAAATTCCTTCGAATTCATTACGTGTTTTTTTTTATTTTTTTTATTTTAATACTTGATCGATTTTTCCGGATGAGTGGCGGTTCCATACAGCTGCAATGTGTGTAAGAATGCTCGAGAAAGGATGGGCGGCCACTAGGTGTCGCTGCTGCATTTCTAAAGAGTGAGATCTCCTTGTTACATGGTTGGATGCACTTGTGCTGCCCTTGTAGAACAGTTGGTAGCTTCGTCGGTCTCATAATCCACCCGTCATGGGAAAGAGTCATCCGGAGGTCGCGAGATCGAGACTCGCCGAGGGCATTGCTTCTTTTTTCCCTACGAGCGGGTGCTCCCACATATGAAGGTATGCGTGGTCAAGGGTTAGGTAGGATAGATGGAATAGCGTCATATTTTCGTTGCACTATTTTTTTGGTGTCCGTCGTCATCTCTGTACTTGGGTCGAAGATTTTTCATTTTCCTGTAACGGGATCAATGAAGGAGTAGGGAAAAAAAAGGCGGTGCGCGACATTTCTTTTAGGGAACGTAAAGTTATACGCACGTCACGGAAATGGTCGCTTCAGCAAGCTTGCAGGATATTGTTATTCTTTACCTACCCCGAGACACACCAGGCTTCGCAAGGAGATGTCTCTTTTCCACCGAAATGTATTCGGGGGAAATGGGCCGATTATGGAGAAGAAAACCAAGACCTTGTCGAAATGTGGGAACCGAACACTCGTTATATCACAGCTGGAAAAATATCATGGGCTTTCCTGAACAACAGTGCATGTTTCTTTTCCCCCCCTTCGATGTGTTTCCCTCTTGATCGCGCGTATACTTCATATATTTTCCTACCATCGTTCGCACAGTTCGTGCACGTCCGATACATATCTACCTCTTGCTCCCTCCACAATCATACGCATACACATTGATCCCTTTAATCGACTTTAATGGCTCCGTAGATCGTTCGGGTAAACCATAGACAGGCAAAAAGGCCTATGGCTCCAGTCATGAGGAAAAAAGCCATTGAAATCATGCCCATGTACGTGAAGTAAATAAATATGGAGACAGCTGCATCAATCTGCAGCTTACTTGCAAAGTACCAGATGGAGTAGATGAACAAATACACCGCCGTTGACCCAGATGTGAAAAAAGACCTCCACCACCACTGGTAGTCTTCGTTGCAGAGCTGGAAGTAAGTCAAAACAATGGCAATCTCCGCGCAAGTGATGCCCATAATGAAGAAGACACAGATGAGAAACCCAAAAACGTAGTAAATTTGATGGAGCCACAACGCCGACATGATGAAGAACAGCTCGATGCATACAGCACCGAAGGGCAAAATGCCTCCGACGGCAATGCAGAGAAGAGGGTGGCCCCACCATTGTCGTTCTGGGATGTGCCTCGCGATCTGGTTTGTCCGGGTAGGCATTCCCAACACCTCCCGCTTAAAACCAAAGTAGGAACCTACAAATACAAGCGGGCTGGAGACGCCGAGCCAGAGAACGAGAAGGCAAAGCACCCACACGAAGGGCACGGCCGTGGACGAATTCTCCAGCATAGCGACCACATTTAGGATCGAAAACATGACGAAAATCACACCCGGGAAGACAGTGGCGGTCAGGATCGTGTTCCGCCGCCAGTCCTTTCCGCCAAATAGCTTGTACAGGCGCGCCGACGAGTACCCGGCCACGGAGCCCATGAAGACGAAGAGCAGGAGCAGAGAGGTGAGGAGGCCGCCGCGATTGGCGGGAGACATGAATCCGAGCAACGCGAACGTGAGGATGGCCGTGCTCATGGCCAAGAGCTGGGCCCCGGAACCGGCCAGAACCGCGAGGAGCATCGGAGATGTCTGAGGGGGGCGAAAGACGTCGCCATGTACCAGCTTCCATCCGCTTTCCTCCTGCGCCTCCTCAAGCGTTTGCATCTCGTTGTAGTTGCTGATATCCTGGCGCAAGGTCCGCAGCATGATCATGGCCACCACTCCGGTGAGGAAAAGGGCGATCATTAAGGAGTTGACGATGGAGAAATAGTGGATTTCATCGTCCGGATTCCCGGAGAAATACACGTCCCATCGGCTCGACCAGGGCACATCGGACTCCTTCCACTCCACGTCGTACGTGAAAATGACCTCCCCCTCCCCCTCCACCGTCTGAAAGGCGTCTACCTCGTGGCTGACTTGCCTTTGGTCGTTGCAGGTCTCCAGCACGGTTTTTTCCGTGTCGAAGACAGCCTGCCGGATGAGGGAGAAAGAATTTCGGTCAGTGCTTCTTGTCCGGACTGCGACGAGGATGATGAAGCGGTTGGACACTCCCAAATCTAAGGAGCTTTTTTTGTGCATCACCACGCCTTCCTTACCTTGTTTTTACTGTCCCATTTGTGCTTGACTGAGAAAGGGATTACTTCGAACCCAACAATGCGCGATCCCTTGAAG